GGCCCATCCAGTCCAACACTCTGTGTCACACAGTGGCCAAAAATACCAGGTGCCATCAGGAGGTCCACCAGCGGGGCCAGGACACTAGAAGCCCTCCCACTCTTGCTCCCCCCCCAAGCACCCAGAATACAGAGCATCCCTTGCCCCAAATCGAGAGTTCCTATTTATACCTTGTGGCTAATAGCCACTGATGGACCTCTGCTCCATCCCTGACATGATGACATGACGATGTAACTTCTGGGTCACATGGGCAGTGACGTAGACCTGTTGCTGTATGTTGGCTGGGCCTCCCTGCTGCTCCCGATAAATCCCCCCATCCCCCTTCAGTTACCAGGAGGGACGTGACAACTCTATGTCCACCTCATACGAGACTGTTCTGTGCACAAACGGTTTCACCTTGCTTGGGGCAACAGAACGGCGCCAACCAATGGACTTTTCTCCTACTGGTCTTAATGGCCAATCCACCTCTCGCCTCTACCCATGTTTTTGTCTTCTACTCCATCACTTAGGGTTGCCAAGTCCATCTTCCACCCCCAGCGGGGGACTTTGGGGGCGTCCCTGGAAGGGGCGGGGCATCCCCGACATGATGATGTCACGTTGGGGACGTCTGCCCCACCTGCCCGCGTGCCGGATCTCCAGAAACGGCAGTTCCCTGCACTTAAAGGAGCTGGCATTTCCCTTTTAAATGCAGGAGCCAGTGTTTCCCCTTTAAGAGCAGCCGCGTTTCCCTTTTAAGAGCACGAAGCTGGCATTTCCCTGCAAGCTTGCGGAGATCAGGCTTGGGAGGAAACACGGGTTTCCACACACTTAAAGGGAGGGAGAGGGGTGGCTGTGGGTGTTGGGGGTGGGGCTTCCCCCACTGGCCATCTGGCTGGCGGCGGGTAGAACCCCCCCAAAAACGGGGGACCCCTGGCAAACCAGGGGGTTTGGCAACCCTACCATCACTGCCAGCCATAAAATTCCATTGGGGTTGACTACAGAGGCAGGGTCAACAGGGGAGGTGGGATTCACATGGCTGTATAAAAGACTGCTGGACATCCCCCTTCCTTGTGCGAACGGAAAAAGGAAATGTGCCAATGGGAGAGGAGCGAATAGCTAACACACAGTTCGTGGCCTTCTGTAAATCCCCTTAAAAACACACTGCCTGTCACTTGAAATACGCCAGTTCATTATATTATAAGAATGTAGGGCCGGAGCATCCCTTGCGTTCATTTAGCTTCAACTGTCGGGACTTCCGTATCCAATGTAAAGATACACAGGCAAGACCATATATATGTCGAAGCACAAAAAGGCTCAGGAGATTTGGAAGTCGCATACCTTGTAGCCGAGAATAAGCCCATTCTGCTCCGGTTCAGGCACGGCCGCCCACGTCAGGAGGATCTGAGTGGAGCTCACGGCTTCGGCCGACACGTTCTCCGGGGGTGCCGAAGGAACTGAAAAGGCCCACATTGACAGACGTTAGAGGCTGGGAAATGCATTCAACTCCTTTGCCCATCTGCATTTCTAGGATCCGCTCAGATCCAAGGGCTCCTACACATCATTATACACATGATATGTATATACACACAAAACAGGGAACACACACACACACACAAAGAGAAGAGGGACACAACAAAGTCTGTAATACACTAAAGCCACGGAAAGCAGTGTTGAAAGGCAGATTTGCACTGGAAGCCTTGAGAGGGCCTCCGTAGAGGATGATCAGAGCGGGAGCTGGTCTCGGCCACGTTAGCAAGAGCTGTTTTTTTAATTCCTTTGAAACGCACAAGGGCGGCAGGATCTTTCCAAGCCGTCCGAGAGTAAGCCCGACGCCTTGAACTAAAGAGGCTTTGCCTCTTTACCAGAAGCTTTTTTTTTGTCTGTCTCGTCCGGCATGTTACGAAGATACATCTCAACGGCCCCCCCTCTCGAAGGACTTTCCTCCTTTCATTTCGGTTCTGCATCTTAAAATAGACGTTCGGCTTGTCAATACGCTATAAGCCGAATAATTGGCACCCCGGACAATTATAGATGAGGAAAATGCACACTAACAATCCACACATAGAACTATGTGGTGCTTTTTTGTTTTTTTAAGTGAGCTATTGTTCTCATGGCCCACGACTAAGGTTCCCCGGCCTTCCTCCAGGGGAGTGGATCACCTGCGGCTGGGGCCCCTCCCTCTGGCACTGATCAGCTGGCCACTGGGGACTTACCAGGCAAGAAAACTAAGCCCAGGCCTGCGTCGCCAGTGACACGGTGAGGTCACCTCCGGGCGTGCACCGGAAGTGACGTCATCATGTCACCGGCAACACGGGGACGCTCTGGTATTTGGGCAAAAACTCTACGGCAAAAATGACCTCTACCGTAGAGCGTTTGTCCAAACGCCAGAGCATCCCCGCACCACCGGCACTGCGATTACATCCCATCCAGTACACGCTAGAAGTAACGTTGGCATGTTGCCAGCAACGTTGGCATGTTGCCTAGTTTTCTGCCAGTAAGCCCGCCTACGCCCCAGGTTGCCAGGGGGTACATGGCAACCATACAAAGGACACAGGCTCCACCCTTCAAAGCAGCCATTGTCTCCAGGAGAAGGAGAAGAAGAAGAAGAAGAGTTGGGTTTTATACCGGATCTGTTTCAAGGTGTTGGTGCTTACCCTTAAAGCCCTCTACGGGCAGGGGCCAGCATACCTTCGGGACCACCTCTCCCCATATGATCCCTGTAGAGCACTACCAACCAACATCTTTTGGTAGTCCCTGGCCCCAGGGATGTCTGGCTTGCCTCTACTACAGCCAGGGCCTTTTTTGGCCTCCACCTGGTGGAATGAGCTCCTGCATCAGATCAGGGCCCTGCGGGATCTATTACAATTCCACAGGGCCTGCAAGACAGAGCTCTTCCACCAGGTTTTTGATTGAGGGATGTCCCTTCCACCACCACCACCCCGGTGTCCTGGACCTGAACAGTCATACGAGACTACCTACCCCTGAGATATCTAACTTAAGAACATAAGAACATAAGAGATGCCAATGTTGGATCAGGCCAAAGGCCCATCCAGTCCAACACTCTGTATCACACAGGGGCCAGAAATACCAGTGCCATCAGGAGGTCCACCCGTGGGAAGGTACTTTATGAAAATGTTGTTATACGGCTTTAATCTGTTTTACTTGTTTTTAACTGTATTGTGTACTGTACTTAGATGGTTTTATGTTGTTTTGTGATGCCAAAAAGGACTTGTTAGCCGCCCTGAGCCTGCTTTGGCAGAGGTACAAATTAAGACAATAAATAAATAAAAATAAATAAATAGACCCTGCTCTTCACTACCTGAAGGCGTCTCAGAGCCACTTACAATCCCTTTCCTCACTCCACAACAGACACCCTGTGAGGTAGGTGGGGCCGAGAGAGTTGTGAGAGAACTTGTGACTGACCCAAGGTGACCCAGCTGGCTTCACGTGGGAGGAGTGGGGGAATCAAACCCGGTTCTTCAGATTAGAGTCCGCCGCTCTTAACCACGACACCACAGCTGCAATTTCAGATCTCCAGGCCCCATCTGGAGATTTGGCGACCCTCGTTCATTTGGGAGAAGGCAGCCGGGGGGGGGGGGAAGCCTCTGTTGCAGAGCTTCCCACAGAGAAAAAGAGAGAGAGAGAGAAGCCCCAAATACTGAGTCAATCCCTCAGAGCCCTCAGCATCTCCTTCCCAACATCCTTGTCTACCAGCAATTTCTCCTCAGCAAAACCCTCAGATTTTGTGTCAGTTTTTTACTCCCCACACATTCCAAGAGCTGATGTTTCAGGACCAAACTGGCCCCCAGGGGTAAAATTCAGGCCCACCTTGTCATTTTAAAAGGAGGGGCCCGGCCTACGTAGATGTTATCATTTTCTGGTGGAGGGGGGCCCCTCAACCTTTGACGTATGTTGGGTTCTCAGTATTTAAGCCTTTTACTTGCGTTAAAGTAAAGATAAAGGTTCCCTTGCTCGAAAGCCAGTTGAATCCGACTCTAGGGCTGCAGTTCTCATCTCCGTTTCAAAGCCGAAGAGCCAGCGCTGTCCGAAGACGTTTCCGTGGTCATGTGGCCGGCATGACTAGATACTGAGGCACACGGAACCCTGTTACCTTCCCACCGAAGTGGTACCTATTTATCTACTTGCAATTTCTTGCTTTCGAACTGCTAGGTTGGCAGGAGCTGGAACTAGAGACGGGAGCTCACTTCGTCATGTGGCACCCGGGTCTCGAACTGCTGAACTACCGACCTTCCGCAGCCTGCAGTTCAGCGTCTTAACCACTTGAGCCACCGCAGCTCACCTAACTTGCGTTAGGCGAACAAAAAAACTGTGGAAACTGCACAGAAATTGTTTTACGGTGATCAAAAGATTCTTGCTTTTGTTCCTGTGGCACATGGTTCTAGTCCAGGCTAGACTGGTGGCTGTGCACCATAATGGTGAAAGGTCTTCTAGCTCTGCCATTGATGGTATCCCTTTATCTGAACATGTGGACATAAGAAGCAATGCCTTAGACCGACGCCAAGCATGGCTCCTTTCGCCTCAGAACTGCCTCCGCTGACTTGTGTTGTCTCTCTCTTCCCCAATCCTTCTACCGGAGGCCCAAGTGGAAATGTTATTATCTGAAGTGGGACGTGAAGCAGACACTAGGCCCATAGCTGTGACCCTTTTCTCAAACCAAGAGCTGATTTCCACACATTTCCTAACCTGACTGGCGGTAGAGCAAATCCATGGTAGGAGGGCTTCTGGAGCTCTGGCCCCACTGGTGGACCTCCTGATGACCCCTGGGTTGTGGCCACTGGAGCAATGATGCTCTGTCTTCTTGGTGCTTGGGGGGGCAACAGTGGGAGGGCTTCTTGAGTTCTGGCCCTGCTGGTGGACCTCCCGATGGCGAGTTTTGGCCACTGTGTGACACAGAGAGTTGGACTGGATGGGCCACTGGCCAGATCCAATGTTGGTTCTAGGGGGGCAACAGTGGGAGGGCTTCTGGAGTTCTGGCCCTGCTGGTGGACCTCCCGATGGCCCCCGAGTTTTGGCTACTGTGTGACACAGAGAGTTGGACTGGATGGGCCACTGGCCAGATCCAACTTGGCTTCTCTTATGTTCTTATGTCTGGGGCAGTGATGTTCTATATTCTTGGTGGTTGGGGGGCAAGAATGGAAGACTTCTGGAGATTTGACCCCACTGTTGGACCTCCTGATGGCACCTGGGTTTTGGCTACCGTGTGACCCAGAGTGTTGGACTGGATGGGCCCTTGGCCTGGTCTAACATGGCTTCTCTTATGTTCTTATATCTGGGGCAGTGATGCTTTGTATCCTTGGTGCTTGGGGGACAACAGTGGGAGGGCTTCTGGAGTTCTGGTCCCACTGGTGAACCTCCTGATGGCACCTGAGTTTTGGCCACTATGTGACACCAAGTATTGGACTGGATGGGCCCTTGGCCTGGTCCAACATGGCTTCTCTTATGTTCTTATGTCTGGGGCAGTGATGCTCTGTATTCTTGGTGTTTGGGGGGCAACAGTGGGAGGGCTTCTGGAGTTCTGTCCCTGCTAATGGACTTCCTGAAAGCACCTGGGTTTTGTCCACTGTGTGACACAGAGTGTTGGACTGGATGGGCCATTGGCCTGATCAAACATGACTACTCTTATGTTCTTCTCCAACCATTTTGAAGGGCAACGGAGATCAGATCTCAATGCTTTGTACATGTACGTGGCCCGAGGAAGCACCAAGTTCCAAAAGAAAACTTTTTAAAAAGAAAAGCAATACACGTCTCTTTAAAGACAAGACTCTAATTTAAAGGTCACAGTAGAATTACTGTCACTAGCCTTCACACCAGAGGGAGAAATCCGACGTTTCTGCGCAGTCCTGCGCTACCCCCCCATCAACAAGCCGTCGAACACCCCGGAGGCAAGTTTAACACCTTTCAATTAACAAAATTAGTTTCGCTGGCTGCTTTAAAGGTTCTGACCATTTTTTTTTTTTGGCATTTATACCTCTCTCTCACAAAGCGCATGCTAATGTCCAAGGGGTATGGGACACTTGTCAGCCATTAGAGACCACCTGCATAAGAAGGGTATATTTGAAGATGAGAAAAAAACTGGATATCATTCTCAATGCCACAGCAGGCAGACCCAGCATTAGCTTGGTCTGGAGCCCTCCTTCCTGAGCGGAGACCAAAAGGTGTGAGCCGGAGGCTAAAGAACTGTGAGCGAGCTCACACTAACTCAGCTTAGAGGGAACACTGCATGCAGTGGTGGTGAAAGTGGGAGAAGGGGGAAAGGCAGTTCAGCTCAAGAGGGATTTCTGCAGATGTGTGGGAAATCACTTGCTCCTTATGTGCTCAGAGGCAGGAGGGACATGGAGTCTTAATCTGTGGAAATGGGCGATTGAAGCTCTTGACTGCACACGAAGCAGCCTTCTACTGCATCAGACTTTTAGTCCATCAAGGTCGGTATTGT